CCCTGAACCCTGGGTGGGTGAGGTATAATATAGAAGTCCTGTCAGGGACACACTCACAGTAGTCTCTTATTCTCTACACGTTGAACAGTTATGGCCTTCTGCATTCACCACACTCTGCTGCGTGAGGGAGCTTCATTTGTAAGAGTCAAGAGATATTAGTATTCTTTCCATCCTCTGTTTCACTATGTTCTGTGAGCCTTAGGTGTAGAGGTTCCTTTGTAGATGTGTCATTTATGGACTGGCATGTCAAAGACAGTTATTCTCTGTGTGTAACCAGTTGTGGAACTTTGTAGTAGCCTCCATCTGTTGCAAAAAGAAGCTTCTTTGATGAGTGGTGAGAGGTTCAATTGTCTGTAAGTAAAAGATAAATATTTAGCACACAGTAAATTTGTTGGCCTAGGGATGTGACAGATGTAAGATTTACTTAAGGATCTTTGACCTCTTCAGCCATGTGTATTTGGCTATGTTTACAGTACCACAGATGAGTTTCTTCCCATTAAGCAGGATTTAAGTCCAATTAGATAGATGTTAATTACTGTCAAAAGTGCTAGTACTGCACCCATTGAAATAATTTGCTCTTTCAGGCATTGCTGTGCTTATTAGGCTTTAAAGCTAGGGTTGGATGACTAATTATTTCTTCCTTAGCATCTTGCATAGTATTCTCTGAAACTGTGAGAGCTAATCTTTAAGGAAGCGTCTTCCAGGTCAGTTCTAGCTCCATTACTCTAAGTCATGTGTGCTAAGTATGTCCTGTCTTCAGCAATAAGGTATTAGCTTCAGGTTCTGGGAGAAAAATCAAAGACTGTGGCAATAGCTTGTGTTATTTTGGGAGCCTATTGGACTACCCTGACCAACACCTCAAAGAGAGGTTTCTCCTATCTGGCATTGTGTTTCTTGTTATAAAGCCTTCAGTTTTATAACACTTATGCTTATGCACTTATGTACAGATATCGTATATGTATTTTTCAGTAGGTTTTTGAACTAATATATTTCCTTCTGTTTATTATACCACCTAAGCATCCTCTCTCTCTCCCTCTCTCTCTCTCTCTCCTTTCAACTTCCCTCCTCCTTCCGCAGTTAAAGTACCCCTATTTTTTTAACCCCCATGGCTCCTTGCATAAGCCTCCCCCTTCCCTTCTTCCCAAGTTAAATTTTCCCCCATTTCCCCCTTGGTAACAACTGTCTCCTAATATACCCCTCTCTCAGGATCCTTATTTCCCTTTACCTCTATGGTTTCTTTCATTTTCCTGACTCCTGTGGTTACATCAGTATACATACTCACATATAAGGATGTCTGCTAAGATCCGCAAATGAAAGAGAACATATATTGCTGTTTTCTGAGTCTGTGTAACTTCATTTAGTATAACAGTTTCTAGTTACATCTATTTACCTATAAATTTCATGATTTCATCTTTCTTTACCACTGAGTAGAATTCCATTGTGTAAATGTACCACATTTTCATTAACCACTCATCAGTTGAGTGACATTTAGGTTGTTTCCATTTCTTTCTATTGTGAAAGGAGCAGCAACAAACATAGATGACACAAGTATCTCTGAAGTAGGATGAGTCCTTTTTGTATGTGCCAAAGAGTGGTATAACGAGATCACCTGGTAGATTTATTTTCAGGATTTTTTTAAAAATTTTTATGTGTATGTGTGCATTGCCTGCATGTGGGTAAATGCACCTGTGTTGTGCAATGCCTGCAGAGGACAGAAGAGGCTGTCAGAGCCTCTGGAAGTGGAGTTATGGACGGACAGTTGTTAGCTGCCATGTGGGTGCTGGGATTCGAACCCAGGTCTTCTGCAAGAACAGTCAGTGTTCTTAACTGCTAAGCCATCTCTCCAGCCCCTATTTTCATGTTTTAAAAAGTTCTCCACACTACTTTCCACAGTGGTAACATCAGTTTGCAATCCATCCAGCAGTGGTTAAGTGTTCCCCTTTCTCCACATCCTTGCCAGCATTTGGTATCATTTGTTCTCTTGATCTTACTCATTCTGATGGGGGTATGATGAAATCTTAAAGTGGTTTTGATTTGAATTTCCTTATTACTGAAAATGCTGAACAATTTTTAAGGTGTTTTTTAGCCATTATATGTTTTACTGTTTTGTTTTGTTTTTGTTTTTGTTTTCTGGGCAAGGTCTTTTTGTAAAGCTTAGGCTGGCCTCAAACTTCAGAATTCTTTGCTTGTACCTCCAAAGTGTTGGAGTTATACACACATTCAGCCACCTTGGTATATGTTTTTATCCTAGATTTTTAAAAGGAAAACAAAACAGGAGCTGGAGAGATGACTTAGCAGTTAAGAGTTAACCTCTGCTCTTGCAGAGGACCAGGATTTGGTTCGCATCATCAACATGGAAGTTCACAACCATCTGTAATTCCAGTTCCAGGGGATCCAATGCCCTTTTGTGTTCTCCGCAGGTACCAGCTGCACACATGGTGCACATACATACATATAGGCAAAGCACTCATACAAATAAAAATCAATATTAAAAAAAAATCTATGGAGATGGAGTGATACCCCAGACTTTAGGAGCACTGGCTGTGCTAGCAGAGGACCCAGGTTCGATTCCCAGCACCCACGTGGTGGTTCACAACTGTCCTTAACTCCAGTTCCAAGGGATCGGTGCCCTCTTCTGACCTCTGAAAGCATTGCACAACATGGTTGCACTTATGTACACCCAGGCAATATACTCATATAAATAAAATAAAAATAATAATTTTTTTAAAGAAAGCATATTTGACTGACACACTTAAATGGGCTAACTGGGTTATTCCTACAAATGTGAGAGGGAAAAAATGGTATCAGATGTTGAGGACATATGCAAGTCGGTGAATATGTGAGTGAATGTATAAATGTGCGTATATAAAGTATACAAAGAGTGTCTTGGAATGAATTTGTGTGTGTGTTCATGGACATGAATGTATGTGTATGTTGTAGCAGATGTGTATGTTTATAGGTCTTTGACAGCAATCTTCATGTTATTGAGTGTATTGAGTATGCATTACCATTTAGGTGAATTATGAGATTTGTGTAATTATACTTGTGAGCAGTAATCATGTGTGTGATGTTCAGTATTAATTGTGAACTTGACATGATCTAGAATCACCTAGGAAACAGGTGTCTGGACATACATATAAAGAAGTTCCTAGTTTGCATGAATTAAGGTGGGGAAAAACTTTAAATGTGGGCAGCACTATTTCATAGGATGAGGTGCTAGAGTGAAAGAAAAGGAGAAGGAATGCTGAGCATGAGCATTCATCCTTCTCTGCTCCTGAGTGCAGATGCAAGGTGACCTATCACCTCATTCACATTCCACCAAGCCAGCCACGCAATGACCGGTTGTACTCTCAAAGTGTGAGCCAAGACAAACCCTTTCTTAAGTTGCTCACCTGGGGCTACAGGGAGACCCTGTCACAAAAAGACCAAAAAATTTTTTTTGATTTATTTATTTTTATTTTGTGTGTATGAATGTTATGCCTGCATGTATGAAAGTGCACCCATGTCATGCAATGCTCAAGGAGGATAGGAGGGGGCATTGGGTCCCCCTGGACTTGGAGTTACAGAAGGTTGTTAGCCACAATGTGGGTGCCAGAATTAGAACCTGAGCCCTCTGCAAGAACAGCCAGTGCTCTTAACCCCTGAGCCATCTCTCTAGCCTATTCTTAAATCACTTTTGTCCGTCAAGTATTTTGTCACAGAAACAAGAAAAATCACTAATACAATGTTAATATGCTGTTTTGTGATCATTCATTTTTTTTGTGTTAGTATGTATGTGCCTGTAAGTGTAAAATCTGTCTGGTGTATGACTTTGTACACATGTTCATGTGAGTAGGTGAATGTGATGACATGCTCGTATGTGATTAAACATGTTTTGAGTGAGAGACTTGTAATTTTGTAGGCATACATGTGATAAAGACTGTGTAACTTGTCACTACATTTCTTTGTATATTTATATTACAAATGAAGTTGCATAGTTTTATACATTTACCAGGTAAATCTGAATTGTTCCTTATTCGTGAGTCATATTTTCATACAGAATTTTCTTTTCCTTTTTTAGTTATGTTTAGTTTTTTTTTAAGACAGGGTCTTTTATGTTGCTCTGGCTGGTCTTATCCTGTGTATGAAGCTATTCTGTACACTGCAGAGAATGACTGATGATAGCCATACTTTCAGTTTGGAATGAGTGAGTTTATGAAGTATATAGCAACCCAATGTAAAACATCAAATAGTAAGAGATAGATAGACAGAAAGACAGACAGATAGGTAGCAAAACATTATCAAGTTAGGGACTAAAAACATACAGCAGAAATTGACTGGAAAAGCCCCTTTAAGGCAGCTAGCTAGAGTTTCCAATAGAGTGCCGGGCAGAGCAGAGTGTTCCCTCATGCGAGGCTTCCAAGAAAAAGAAAGGTGACATCATCATGTCCAGGTCTGAGAAACATGCAGCAGAAACCAACTAAGGGAGCTCGTTTAGTAGCAGCAGATAGCAGTAAAATCATCAAGGCGTGCACTCACGATATCCAGCAGAAACTGACTGTGGAAGTTGAGGTAGCTGGAGTTCCTGATTGAGCTTCCTCTCCACGAATGAGCATCCCAGGGATGAACTTCAGGCCTCTCCAGCTCACGGCAGGCACTTTTATATCATGGTATAAACAATAGTAACCTCTGGGGGAAATAGTTTACATTTTAGCTATTCTCCAAGGGAAACGATTTTTACTCTTGGGCTGTTTTGCTGTTCTTTTTTCTTAGCATTGCAGTTTGGGGGGCAGCCCATCTGCAGACAGAGGGTTTTGGAATACATTTGACATAATCATGCTTGGGTCTGAAGTACAGAGGCACAGAGCCTCTTCCAGAGCCAACTTATCAATGAGTTCAAATAGCAGAAAAAAATTTACCAATTAAGTGCATTACAGTTGCCTGCTCTAACCTGGAACTCATGATGATCTTTCTCACTCAGTTTTCTAAGTTCTCAAAATTGGAGTTTTTGTGTTTTTTAAAAAAATATGGAATGCTTCACAAATTTGCATGTCATCCTTGCTTAGGGGCCATACTAATCTTCTCTGTATTGTTCAAATTGGAGTTTTTAATAGCAGTGATTTTTCTGAATAGAAAGAATAGTCCCAGACCATCTACTGACTCCCTTCTACCCCTAGTCCACTGGTAAACACAGACAATTGCTTTTCTTATTTTTAATTTTTTTATCTTAAGGGATGATTTTACTGTAGTTACAAAGGAAATTTGAAACATAATACAGAATTCAGGGTACAAAACATTAAATCACAGAATAAAGCAATTTATAAGGAAGTGAATAAATTGCTTTGCAAATACTGAATTTACAAAGCATTTCATACAGAATATCTCAATCTTAATCATCTTTATACCCCCGTCCCCACTGGCACCCTCCCATAGCCCCCCACCCCCCACTGGAGCCCATATACTCTGTAATCCAAGGCAGAAACATTTCTGTAGGAATTGGCAAGTTCAGAACAATACCAGAATGTGTGGCAATTTATGTATTTGTGGCAATCTATTAGGACTAGCTTTACTTCAATCTAGTAGATACATTTCCATTTTAATGAAGATGCCTTTGCTAATAGTGTAAATAGGGATCTTCGTCCCATGACACAGAATGTATCAGGAACCTCAGTCCACGCAGCAATTGTCTCTTCCATGGTAAGGACTTTAATAAGTGCCAAATATGTCTCCAGGGGTTGGTTATCTAGCCAAAAAATCTTTGGGCTGAGTCTGAGATGCTTACCACAAAATGTATACGTAATATTATTTTCATGTGCATTTTGTCCAGAGGATCCAGGAAGTACATTTTGGAGTTGCAGAGCTAATTGTTCTGGGTATTGCTAGGAGAGTCAAAATGATATCTCTCTAGATTAGTCTGTCCAGTGCCTCTTGTTACTCAGGTACACACTGAAAAGTGGAAGACAGGGGTGATTCAAAGGATAGGGGTCAGTAAACATTAGAGGTGAAGAATATGTTGATGTAAGCCATGTTTGTAGAATTAACAAATAACCTTTAATTTGGTTGGTCTTCCATAAGTCTCTTTTAAATCCAGGGCAGCTGAGATTTCTTGAATTGTTTTAGCCATCACTGCCAGCAAGAAGGGATTATAGTTGTTAGGAAGCCCATGTGAAACAACTGGATGGATTCAGAACTCAATTCAGCCTCTTCCAGACTTGCCAACTTGCCATGCTGTATACCATCTGTTGCCTAATAAGCCCATTCCAGTATCACCAGCTGATAGGAAGCTAACATGTTCCACTGTCAGTCTTCCTGGGACTGATAGCAAGCCTACTGTAGGGTTTAGCAGCCTGCCTAGTCATAAAAATACACATTAACAAGGTTCTGTATATGTGGACCAGCGTTCAAAACTTCTTATTCCTACCTTCCTTATTAATTGTATGGTGGAATCTTTTAGGAACAATATCATTTTCCGTGTCATCTCACAGCAGTAAATTATTCGATTTTATCCCATTACATGGAGCTTTCATCTCAACAGATGCATTCTATATAGACAATAAGCCAGGTTCATTATGTTCTTGAGCTAGGTTCTCAAGGACAGACTGGGTTTCAGGGAGAGAGCATATTACTCCTCCAGTCAAGATCTGGCTTCATCCTTGGCCCTACACTTTTGTGTGTACTTTAAATGGTCCAAGAAAACACAGAAATTATTCTCATCAGTCTAATGGTAGTGTTGTATTGTTCTTGCTTCTGAAGTGCACTGGTTCTCTTTCTAGAGTCCTTGCCTCCATTCTATTACCCCCAGGAACTTGTACTCCTACCTCCTATCTGGCAACAACTTAATTAAAAGCCACATTGAGCAAAAGCTAGACTGGATCTTACAGTTTAGAGAACCTATTCAGTAGGATAGCCACTTCCTTCAGAATCTTGAGAGGGGCAAGAACATAAACTTCCTTTTATTTAGTTACTGGTTCAGCCCAAGGATTTGGGTTTCAATACACTTTGAAGGACGAACTAGAATAATGCCTTATGCAACAGCAAATCTAAGTGAGACAGCAGCATAGTGACACTAGCTATTTATACAGTTATTTCTTCCAATTATGATTGAAAGTCTTGGTCTGACACCTCTGCCTTATTGGCTAGTTACATGCTGTAGCAGTCCCCAGGGACAAGGAAGTCCTCTCCTCTCAGAAGAACACAAATGGCAGCCATGAAAAGGTCCTCATGGCCATTTTGGGGTCAGGAATAACATAACCCTTTGTTTGGAGGTTTACCCTCTTCTCCTTTCTCTATTTGAGCCTACAGAGCAGGCTGACTTTGTCATGAAGATCCATGCTTCTGACACTTAAGCCAGTCTCAATGCCATGGATTCACTCAAAAGCCAGTGCTACCACTTGATTAGGCTAGGAAGGTTCATGAGGAGGCCATCACAAATACTATCTTGATAGCACAGAGTAATGCTCCATGATCTGGAAGCATTCCAAATTTTGATTCCCAATCATGTAAAGCTGAATAGGATACATTTGTCAGTTGTTCTGCTAACTGTGTCAACTGCCTGACTAACACCAAAATCCTCTCCTTTCCTCATCACTACCTGTTCTGACTTCAGAGGATTTAGAGCTGATCGAGGAAAAAGGTAAGACCTCCAAGTTGGCAGTAGCACATAAGATGAATTAATTGGATGACATTTCGATAGTTTTACATGAGAGAGCTATCCCTCCTAATAGAAGATTTTCTAGAACAAAGCCCCAGAATTCCCAGAGGACAGTGAGATTAGGGAGTGGATCTATCTGTCTGAATGATGTTATTCAGCAGCAGAATGGGAAGTCTCTGGGTCAGGGAATGCAGAACAACAGTGAATTGGGGTCTTTTATAACTATAGGCTTTAACTTATCTATGGGTAACAGCTGTTGGGTACAGTTTTGCAAGGAATGCAAAACAGGCAGGCAGTTGATGGCTAAAATTCAGCTTATTTTGGCTATATTTAAAACAACTGAGTGTGTAAAATTTGAGTTTAATGCCAGCTGGCCTTTGCACTAATGGGTCCCAGCCTTCTGTGAAGAAGAAAACAACATAGGGCCAGTATACAGAGGTCCTTTTTATTTCCTTTTATAACAGTGTCCATGTTGAAGAGTGAATATTGTAAGCCTGTTCAAGTATGGATGTATTAATAGTGGTATCATTGTGTCATTATGTAGATGTCCATATTCATGCATATGAGTAAATTTATGACTGTATATATGGATGTTAACATGTTTGTGCATATAAGTGAATTTGTAAAAAATTTAATGTGTTCTTAGTATGTGAGTACACTTGAGAGAGTGTGTTGTGTGTAAGGTTGTATGTGTGTATGTACAAATCAGTTTGTAATCATGTGCATGGATGCTAATATGTGGATGTATGTGATAATTGTGTAAGCATAATAAAGCATATTAGTAACTGAAAGCATGTGTGTACATGTGAACATACATGTGTATGTGATCAAATATATAAGCATTATTGTAAGTGTGACATTCATTTTTGATGATATGCATGATGAGAATATATGTATGCTATTTGTGACTATGTTAATGTATGGATAAAGAAATATGCAACTATGTGAGCATGCATGAGAGTCTCTGTGAGTGAATTTGTCAGCATCTTCATATCAGTGAGTATGTTAACAGCTTTGAGTGAATATTTGAATGAGTTTATATGAATGAGTGAATATGCAAATGTGTAAACCAGAGTAAATATGAGTTTATATGTGATTAAATCTATGAGCATATTTGCATATGAGAATGTGCTAATGTGACTCAGTTAATGCATAAGAAAGTGAATATAGGTAGTAATAACTCCTGTTAGAAGGAATTTGTGAATTAGCATGGAATTCATATGAGTATATTTGTATATAGTAGCGAACCAAGTGTACATCTGTAATAGTAATATATAAGTACATTAATGTGTGTTGCTAGATGAGTGATAGTGTGCAAATGAGGGATTACATATGTATTTTTAAATATTTTATTTATTATTTTTATTTTATGCGTATGTGTGTATTGCCTGCATGTAGGTAAGTGCACCCATGTCATGCAATGCCAGCGGAGGACAGAAGAGGCTGTCAGATCCCCTGGAACTGGAGTTACAGACAGTTGTTAGCTGCCATGTGGGTGCTGGGATTCGAATCCTGGTCTTCTGCAAGAATAGTCAGTGTTCTTAACTGTTGAACCATCTCTCCAGCCCCGTAAGTATATTTGTAAACATGTTTGTGTGTAAATATGTAAGCATCTTAGTCAAGTGTTTGAGGAACTGTGTGGGTGTGTTGATATATTTGAGTAAAAGTGTGAATGATTTCAGGAAGTTGAGCATATTTGGGTGTGTAAGTGAATAAATCATCTCTTTTGAGTATGTAAATTTGAGTGCATCTGTGTGCTTCACTAAGTGTATGATCACAAATGTGTTTATGAGTGTTTGTGAGCATGTTCATTTAAATAAGCAAATGTGTGAATGTGTAAGCATCTCCTTGTGAATATGTGAACCCATTTATGCATTAAGCTGTTACTGAGAATATACTTCTTTGATGAAATAAATGCTTATGTGTTTATATTCATGCATAAAATGCATTACAGTGTACATAGATACTAGCATGTTTGTGTGTAAATGAATGTTATGTATAATTTGTGAGCTTGTCAATGTATGACTGAACTTTTATGAGTACATAGAATGTATATGTAAGTTTATGTGGAGGGAATACATGAATTTTGTGACAAGTGTGAGAAAATTTATATTCAAGTGAATGTGGGAACAGGGTGCTCTTTATAAGCATATTAATATATAAGTAAATGTGAGTTGTGCATATGAATGTCCATGTGTGAAAATTTGTAGGCCTTTCCATATGTAAATACATATGTAAACATTTTTATGAGTGAATGTATGCATGAATGTAAGCATATATTAATGTGCCTGTGTGTGAGTACATATGTCAACTTGTTTATGAGTAAGTGTGTAAGCATGTTGATGGGAGTATGTCTGTTGCACGTGAATAAACTTTTGAGAATGTTGGTATAAGTCACTGAATATTTTACTTTTAGTGAATTTTTTAGCATATGTTTATTTAAATGTATTTATTTTATTTTATGTGTATGAGT